TAAGGTGAGCACCCAATGAGCTGCCAGTCATGGGAACATCCTCAGCACCTCCTCCCTGAGGCCTACCCACCCCAGCAGGCTTGGGTCCCAGTGGAGCACTGAAGGGGTGGGCACTGCAGCCTCTGATCCTCCATCCTCCTCCAGCGCCCATCCTCCAGGCACAACATCACAGCCAGCTCAGCTGGCAAAGCTCTTTAGGCCAGATGACCAAGTGTGGCCCTGTCTAACCCTGAGCATGCTCATTGGAGGCCAAAGGAAGTGTGCCCTAATGCTGAGGGAGTTTGAGTGAAGTCTGAGTAAGATTAGTAAACTCTCAAAGGGGGCTCGAGAGCCCTGATTGGGAGGACAGAGGGGACATATGGGACTGGGAAGAGGGCCACACACAGGTGCTGGTGAAGGTATAACTGTCATGAAATAATTGCTGGGACCAGGCAAGGTGGCACAAGCCTGTAATCCCAGCATTCAGAAGATAGAGGAAAGAGGATCAGGTACTCAAGGTCATCCTTGACTACATAGTGAATTATTTGAGGAAAGAGTAGAGTACATCAGATCCTGTCTCAAAACTAACAAACAAACAAACAAACAAACAAAACAACATTGGGGAGATGGTTTAATAAGCAAGGCGCTTGCTGTACAAGCATAAGGACCTGAATTTGATCCCAAGAGCCCAAGTTTAAAACAAAACAAAACAAAAACAGACATGCCAGGCACAGTAGCACACGCCTTCAATCCCAACACTCAGTAGGCAGAGGCTGGCCTAGTATATGTAGAGTTCCAGGACATCCAGGGCTACTTAGAGATACTGTCAAAAACAAGCAAACAAATAACAAAATAACAGTTATGGTAGCCTGCATCCAATCTTGGTTCTCAAAAGATAGAGACAGTGATTAGCCAGCTGTTGTTATTGTCCTCTGAATTAAGCAACTGCCATCTTGAGTTTAGCTGTACCCTCTTGCAAAAGGATTGTCCCGTCTGGGATTGTTGGCTGTTTACATTCCTTCATGGAGGGTTAGGAAGGGTCATGAGACCCTCACTTGAGTATCAGCTCCTGACCACCTGTTATATGCGTACAACTCAGCCTTAATTGCAAATGGCCTAGGGTAGGGAATAGAGAAGTGGTTCTCAACCTTTCTAATGCCATGACCTTTATTACAATTCCTATATTGTAGTGATCCCAACCATAAAATTATTTTCATTGCTACTCTATAACTGTAATTTTGTTACTGTTATGAATTGGAATGTAAATATCTGTGTTTTCCTATGGTCTTAGGTGACCCCTGTGAAAGGGTCATTTGACCCTCAAAGGGGTTGAGACCCACAGGTTGAGGAACCACTGGGCTAGAGTATATAGGAGGATGGGGACTAGAAGAGGAGACTCAATCTATGGAGATGTTGGAAAGCCCTCATTCCTCCTGGGTAAAAGTTTTCCGGGTTTGGCTTGTGGGGAATAGCACCCACACCCCTCTAAGTAAGCCCTCACCAATGCTCTGTAAGGAAACTTGCTGGTTTTCCAGAGTGAGCTTTGGCAAAATCATGCCTGGGTTTGCCACTAGGATTTAGGAGAGGTGGGTAGATATTGCCTATGTATCCCTCTGGGAAGGAAATTTAGCAACATCAACGTAGCCTACTCAGTGAGATACCTTTTCTCAAAAAAACAAGGTGTCGGGGCTGGAGAGATGGCTCAGTGGTTAAGAGCACAGACTGTTCTTCCAAAGGTCCTGAGTTCAATTCCCAGCAACCACATGGTGGCTCACAACCATCTGTAATGATATCTGGTACCCTCTTCTGGCCTTCAGGGACACATGCAAACACAACACTGTATACATAATAAATAAATATTAATAAAAAATAAAAAAAACCACAAAAAACAAGGTGTCAGGGATGGAGAAATAGCTCAGCTATTAAGAGCACTTGCTGCTCTTGCCAAGGACCCAGGTTCCATTCCCAGCACCCATATAGTGGCTCACAACCATCTATAACTCCAGTTCCAGGAGATCTGACACCTTCTTCTGGTTTCCTTGGGCACTAGACACACACATAATGCACATGCAGGCAAAACATTCATAAAAATAAAGTTAAAAACAAAAGGTAAATGGTGTCTGAGGAATGATACCCAAGGTTAACCTCTGCTCCCCCCCACATGTGCATACATGGGAACGCACACCACCACATAGGTGCTCCCACACACACATGCACAAGAGAATGAATAATCACTAGGGAAGGGGTGGGTACCAGAGATAGTGGATACAAGACCAGCTCTTCCCCAGCTAAGCTTCAGTTCTAGAACTATAATCAATCAATTGAGAACAAACTAAAGAAACCAGGAAAAAGAAAGAAGTCAGCAGGAAAAGGTAGAACAAGGATCAAAAAACTGAAAGCTAATTCTTGGAAGAACACCAGCAGGCAAGCTCCCCACAGGAACGATGCCAGGAAAGCATGTTAGCGAACGGACACACAGAGGCAAAGATTAGAAGACCAGGGTTAGGAACGCCAATACCCAATAAAGATGAAAGTCTAAATGAAGACAAATGTCCCAGAACTGTAAACAACAACAACAAAAACAGAACAACAAAAACAAAACACTACAAACAAACAAAACAACAACAAAACACAAAAGAAGAAACCACCACCAGAAAGACTTCAAAGTGGAGCCTTCCTGTCTACAGCTCAGAGGGGGCCGCTCCACCCCGCTTCCAGGGACCAGCAAATTCTTGCTTTGGATAAGATGTTCCAGAGGTGAAAGAGGGAGGCAGCAGCTCATTTTACAAGGTCAGGACTGTTTGGAAACCAAACCAGAAAGGACAAACAAAGGATCGGGTGAGGAGCTGGAGAGATGGCTCAGCAGTTAAGAGCACTGACTGCTTTTTCAGAGGACCCGGGTTCAATTCCCAGCATCTATATGGCAGCTCACAACTATCTGTAACTCCCGGGTCCAGCACTCTCACACAGACATATATGCAGGCAAAAACCAACACACATGACAATAAGTTACTTTTAAAAAAGGATGGTGTGAGTGTCCACTCCACTAGGAGTTTTAAGTGCAAACCAACCAACCAACAAATAAATAGCAGCGGGGTTCTGTCAAGATGGCTCAGTGGGTACACCGAGCCTGACGACCCGAGTCAGTCCCTGGGACCCACATGGTGAAAGAAGACAATATGCTCCTGCTTTTTGTCCTCTGGCCTCCACACACACGCTGTAGCAAGGCACTCCCCCCAAGTAAAAATAAAAAAACAAATATAACACATACAAATTTAAAAATAAAATACAGGGTCTGGAGAGATGGATCAGCGGTTAAGAGTACTGGCTGCTCTTCCAAAGGACCTGGGTTTAATTCCCAGCACCTACATGGCAGCTCACAACTGCCTGTAACTCATGTTCTGGTGAATCTGACACCCTCACACAGACATGCACACAGGCCAAATGCCAACACACATAAGAATTAAATAAATAAAATTACTTAAAAAAATAAAATGCAGCTGGGCGGTGGTGGCGCATGCCTTTAATCCCAGCACTTGGGAGGTGGATCTCTGTGAGTTCAAGGCCAGCCTGGTCTACAGAACGAGCTCCAGGACTGGCACCAAAGCTACACAAAGAAACCCTGTCTCAAAAAACCAAAATAAATAAATAAATAAATAAAATAAAATAAAAATATAGTGTAATACAGTATTAGGAACTGTATCCAATTGTACATGACAAATGGACTGTATGGTCTAGGTTTCTCTGGCTTAGTTATCAGACAATGTCAACACAACCCACCCTTAAGGAGATGAATGAGACAATTCCTGTCATTAACTCAACAGACACAGAAATTATTTGATGGGATAAGGTAGACTTTGTCTCCTTTGTTCATAATTAAAGAGCTCTTAGTGCAATAGAAATGAGACATTCCCATGTCTACTGCAATCAATATGTACATATAATAGTAAAATATACAATAACAAATATATATATTACAGTAGTGGAGTATGTGTAATAGAAAAATGTCAGTGGTCAAGACCATGGACACACCAAGAGGCCCAAGGAGGGTCCTCCTGCACACAGCCTCTGAGACAAAACAATCCAGCAGTCAACCTTCCGGATGCCCAACTGAATTGAAAACTTGTGTTCAGCTAAACAATGACTCAGCTAGCAAAGATGTTTGCTGTGTAAGCCTGGCAACTTGAGTTCCATCCCTGGAACCTATGTAAGGTGGTCTCCTGCATGGGTCATGGGCATGTGTACTCACATAAATCACACACACACATACACATAATAATATTAAAATTTATTTAAAAAAAGAAAACTAGCCGGGCGGTGGTGGCGCACGCCTTTAATCCCAGCACTCGGGAGGCAGAGCCAGGCGGATCTTTGTGAGTTCGAGGCCAGCCTGGGCTACCAAGTGAGTTCCAGGAAAGGCGCAAAGGAAAGGCGCAAAGCTACACAGAGAAACCCTGTC